GTTACCTCTGACGAAGATTAAAGGTGACCTGGAACCATAAGCTATAGCACCCCAAACCATAACTCCAACAGTGTGATGAACATGTCTTTCAACAAAAAACTGTGGATTCCTCCTTTCACCACGTCGCCTTCTAACCCTGGCACGACCATCGTGCATGCCTAAACAAAATCGAGACTCGTCACTAAAGACAATACTGTTCCATTCCTGATCCCAGAGTGACCGTTGTCTGCACCACTCAAGGCGATTACGTCGGTGTTCTCGAGTTAAAGGGAGGACCCAGTGTGGCCGGTATGAAAACAAGCCAAAACTTCTTATTCGTCGGTAAACATTTCGCATGCCAATAGGTCTTCCGTGTTCTGCAAACCATTCATTTGCAATGGACCTGGTAGTGGAGAAACGGTCCCTTAAGGCCAATAATCTTAGGCGGCGATCTTCACGGTCTGTTGTTCTACGGCGGCGTCCAGTGCCCCTTGCTCTTTGCGTACGGCCTTCTCGAAGCCATGCCTGACAACACCTAACCACAGTGTCTACACTTCTTTGCACTCTAACTGCAATTGCCCAAAAAAAGTCCCACTATACGGCTCCTATCAACCTCACTAAGTTGACGAAATCGTACATGTCTCCGTACTCTAGGCATCGTAACCGATCGTAAAGGATGTCAAGAACCAAAATCCACCAACGTTGATTCTTTACTGCGGCTGAAATATTCATTTTTAGAGCGTTAGTGAATTAAAAAAAGCAGTATAAAAACCCGAATGTCCAACTGATAAACTGGGTGTTCGGATTTATATGTCACTTAGTATATGTCATTTATTAAAACTGGGTGTCCGATATTTTATTGCATATTCCCTTCCAAGAAAAAAGATTGAAATAAAAGCTCAGCTTTGACAGACTGCCTATCTGCCATTTTATATTTATATTCTAAGGCTAAAGAGTGCTGATAAGAATTTCAACTGTTATTATGACGATAAGATATAGTATTTTTTAGTATTAATTCCAACTTGCCAACTTGACCCGCCAGGAAAATAAATACGGAGGCTTTCTGAAAAGCACAGTATACGAATATTTTTATGTCAAACGCTTTTTATCACGGAAACCTATGATACTCATTCTTACCAGTTCGTCTGAGTATTTGATCACTTTTGACCTGTGATAGCATCTGTTATCAGCAGTACAAAGAACATAAATATCACGCTTATTTTTTTAAAATAAATTAAATATGTTGCGACGTTTGAGACCAGAAAATCGACGACGGCGCACTGACATTCTTTTTACCGGAATCAGACTTGGCATGGAATGAGTACTCATCAATACCTATAATTCAAGAAGTAATTCCGGTAAACAAATGTCAGAGTCGGATTTCTTAAGCACCGCACTATTAAGCTTTTTTTAGGGTTTTGACCTCATATTTCTGTGAATAGTCGAGCATCTAAAGATTCGCATAGAACCGATAAACAGAAGAGCCGTTAAAGCCTCTTAAAGCTCATGATCCTGAAAACGTTCACATATACGATCTAAATCCAAAAGAGATTTCATCATTTATGGAAACCGGTGTTGGTTGAGCGAGCTTTTTTTATGATTTTCGAGATAAATTAAACCGAACATTGAGAAAACTATAATCAATAATAATTGTACTGCACTCATAAAGAGAGTTGAAGGATCAATTGAAAATTGTAAATTTTTAGTGATTTTTTGGAGTATTATCAGTAGATGATGGTCGTATATGGGGTCTAAGAGAAGGATTTTAATGCTTGGATTGCTCAGTGAAAAAATCTTTGAATTTGCGCGCAACCTTAGGAAATAGTGTGAAGAAAAAAAATGTTTTTTTTTAATATTCTATTTAGGTCCACGGACTTGAAAAAATATGTTTCCGCTGGACCGTTGTTTATAATAATATACTAAGTGACATATAAATCCGAACACCCAGTTTAAATGGTTTTATTTTAATAAAAGTTGGTGAATGTATTTATCTTACTGTAAATAACAAGTGAAAAAATTTTCAGCCTTATCAGTTGGACATTCCGGTTTTTATACTGCTTTTTTTTAAATTCACTAACGCTCTAAAAATGAATATTTCAGCCGCAGTAAAGAATCAACGTTGGCGGATTTTGGTTCTTGACATCCTTTACGATCGGTTACGATGCCTAGAGTACGGAGACCTGTACGATTTCGTCAACTTTCTTTTCGGGCAATTGCAGTTAGAGTGCAAAGAAGTGTAGACACTGTGGTTAGGTGTTGTCAGGCATGGCTTCGAGAAGGCCGTACGCAAAGAGCAAGGGGCACTGGACGCCGCCGTAGAACAACAGACCGTGAAGATCGCCGCCTAAGATTATTGGCCTTAAGGGACCGTTTCTCCACTACCAGGTCCATTGCAAATGAATGGTTTGCAGATCACGGAAGACCTATTGGCATGCGAAATGTTTACCGACGAATGAGAAGTTTTGGCTTGTTATCATACCGGCCACACTGGGTCCTCCCTTTAACTCGAGAACACCGACGTAATCGCCTTGAGTGGTGCAGACAACGGTCACTCTGGGATCAGGAATGGAACAGTATTGTCTTTAGTGACGAGTCTCGATTTTGTTTAGGCATGCACGATGGTCGTGCCAGGGTTAGAAGGCGACGTGGTGAAAGGAGGAATCCACAGTTTTTTGTTGAAAGACATGTTCATGACACTGTTGGAGTTATGGTTTGGGGTGCTATAGCTTATGGTTCCAGGTCACCTTTAATCTTCATCAGAGGTAACATGAACGCGCAGCGTTATATCCACGAAGTTCTAGAACCCCATCTTTTACCCTATCTTGACACCCTGGCAGATCCAACTTTCCAACAAGATAATGCCCGACCACATGTTGCAAGAGTCACAATAGACTTCTTTCAACATAATGATGTCACATTGTTACCATGGCCACCAAGATCTCCCGACTCATCCCCAATTGAGCACGTGTGGGATATGATGGGTAGGAGATTGCTCAATTTGCAACGTCCTCCTCAGAATCTAGAAGCACTTCGAGAGGAGTTGGTGGTTGCCTGGAATGAGATACCACAGGAGGACATTGGCCACCTGATCAGAAGCATGCCTAGGCGCGTTGGACAATGCGTAGCACATCAGGGTGCATCCACACATTATTAAAGGTCAAAGGGCTTTAAAGCAGTGCAATCATTTTGAAATTTTTATCATTTACTTATGCTTCATTAAGTACTTATACAAAATTTTATTAAAATAAAACCATTTAAACTGGGTCTTCGGATTTATATGTCACTTAGTATAATAAAAAATTATTGATGTGAATACACAGAAAGTCAATATATACTAGGAGAATGCTTAGAAAAAAGTACGTGCGACATGAATAAAGCCAGTTAAGAACAATGCATAACGCATACTTACTAAAAACCAATAAAAAAAAAACAAAAAATGTCTTCATGACAGATAGAGACATGAGGGTCATTTAGAAAAATATATATAATACAATAAACCATAGACATACAAACAAACAAAAACAAAGACAAATGTTGTAAATAAACATTAAAGGTATATCAGTGAAGTCATTTGACAAATATTCATCGGTGCCGAAGAATGCCTTTTGTACTAAATAATATCTGAGTTTCCTATGGAAAACTCTTGATTTTCCTAGGCGGTAGTTACTGAGACAAATGTTGCTTCTATTTCGTGTGGCATAATTGTGGGAAAGGTACTAATATTACCTTTTCCATATAAGTTTGTGCTCAATAGCCTGCTTTTTAGCTTTATTTCTATTTGACCATTTCTTGATGAGACATCGAATTTTTAATAAAAAGGTAAAGGATTCCCTACGTCGTTGATCGTTCAAAGAAAAAATTTCATCTTCCATATCAGCTAGAAAAAAATGGTAAAAAGGAAGTCATTTGTTTTTTTTTAAAAGCCAGGGATGAAATGCAAATAGTAATGTTTTTCCAGCCCATATGAAGGATGAAAAAATTGTTTTTCCTTGAGTGATCATTGATCCTCTTAAAGATCCTCTCCAGCTTTTAAAACCATCCTTAGATTTTCTGGATCTTGAGCTATCGATGATCAAAGCCAAAAGGGCGCTTTTTCATTAAAAATCTCAGCAAGAATAGTCGTATCAAGGTTTTGCTAAAAGCTCGTTGAAGCTAGGTAAAAATGCATTTTCCAAGTCGATGGACTCAAGTATAAATATGTTTATATACAGTTGAGTTTTTTATTTTAACAGCTTGTAGGACTCGTCAAGAGGAGTTGATATACAAAAAATCACCTATATAAAAGTTGTATAATAAAAGAAATGGTAAAAGATTAAGGATTTTAAAAAATAGGAATGTATTAAACAGATTTTTTGAATTTCCCGATGACTGCCGTGTAAAATCTTAGTGTTTTTTTGTTTACTACTTTTATCGTTTATCTAAACTTGGCAAACCTTTTGTGTTATTGTATGGTTTTCAGTACAAGTCATTTCCTGGCCTGCTCGCTCCCCGGATTTGACGCCTTGCGATTTTTTTCTGTAGGGCTATTTGAAAGAGTTGAATGAATGAATGAATCTTGAATTTTAGAGGCATCCCGGCCACCATAAGGAGCCAGTGCATAGGCCGCTTAAGCGGGCCCTTATGCACCTCTACAATACTTAAATCACAAGCCTCGCCCTTTTAGCGAAGTTGAGAATCGCCTTGAGTCCAAGCTCCTTTACGTTCTGAGGGTCCAAAGTAATGGACCCCAGTATTTGAAAGAGTTGGTGTATCATGTAACATTTTTTCACTTGTTATTTACAGTAAGATAAATACATTCACCAACTTTTATTAAAATAAAACCATTTAAACTGGGTGTTCGGATTTATATGTCACTTAGTATATTATAACATTTACAAACGTTTCTTGAAAGTGTAATCTACACACATATTGTCTGTAGACTCTTTCAGTAGAATTGCTTATGTTTTCGTAAGCTTTGAACGTTATCGTCAGGAAGACCGGTGAGCTACCATAGAATTAGATCCTCCACAACTTTGACTTACCGTTGAAACAAGTGCTACCCAAACAATGCAGCTCTCGGTTTAACAAGTGTTGTCTTGGAGTTAACTGTCACTTGGAGCCGGAGGATCTAGCACTAACTTTTCGAATCTTTGAGATCAGCAGGACTTTACACTTGGTGATAACTTATTTAGATGTTTCCCCTTTCAAATAAATCATCGACAAAGAATAGACTGATTTGTATTACGCGCGTCGTACCGTACTTGAAATGCTGAATCGATGTTTGCCGTGATTTGTGATAAGAATGCGCGGATAAGTGGGCCGCGACCGCAAGCGACAGATCAATACCGATCGATCGGTACTGCCAGCCGACTTAGGATGGCACCGCTATTATCGCTGTTTTTTCAATTCTCGCGAAGAACATCGCGCCGTATTGAGCAAGAGGGGATCACCCACCCACTTATTGGATAATTTTGCAAAGCAGGAAACGGCACTCATCTGGTACTATCGTTAGTACTGGTGATGATGATGGAGAACGTTTCCTTTTACAGTCTTCAAACCGGGTCGATAGTACAACGTTAGGAATGGCAGCGTTATTGAGCAAATCCACGACATTTTTCGACATTTTCGGTCAAATTGATTACAGTGATAATTTTATCTGCGATTAATTCAGCATACAGTGGACCCCCGATAATCCGGCGCCCCCTGTAATCCGACATGTCTTTGAATATGTATTACATACACATGCGTATTTGACAATCTTCGCTAATGTAGATCACGCAGGTTTGAACAGGTTACAACTTGTACGCGCCACCGCTATTACTATTTATTCATTGTGTATGAAGTATAGTACCTAGTAATGTCATCACAAACTCAGAAGCGAAAGCACAAAACATTGACAGTTAAAGAAAAATGAGATATTTTAGACCGCTTAAATCGCAATGAAACTTTTAGTAGTTTAGCAAGCTGAATATCCAGAAGTGGAAGAAGCTTTGTACATGTGGTTTCTTCAGGAAAGAAATAGGCATGCACCAATTTCAGGACCCATGTTGGCCATAAAAGCTAAGTTTTTTATAAGGAAATAACAAAAAATGATGATTTTGTGGCCAGCAAAGGATGGCTAGAACGTTTTAAAAGTCGTCATGGCATACGTTTAACACGTTCGCTGCCAGACATATTTTTTAACATGTGTCCACTACGCCAAACATGTATTTTACATTGAGCACTAGTGGGCCACCATATAAAAAAAGATGTTGCTCCCATCGGGGCCACATACCTCATTATGGAAAAATCAAGAAATTATATGTGCGGCGTATAGCTTCTAGGCCATGTTGGTCCATTTCTGCAGGCGTACATAGGTAAACGAGCGCCAACGGTCCAGCAGCTATTAGAAAATGCGTTGACCCCTTGGGACCAACATAGCCTGGTAAGGCAAATATATATTGGCCCTATTGGACCAATGTGGCCTGCTGAGGCAACATGAGTGTTGGTCCTATAGGACCAACGTGGCAGTGAACGTGTTTTCTAATGATGCCACCTGCATAGAGCCCTTTAAATTAAGATTTTTGCAAAAGGTGAACGATTTAAATCTTGACCCGTCACAGGTGTACAATGCAGACTAATCAGGGCTTTTTTGGCGTGTGATGCCTAACAAAACTTTCGTTTCTTGTAACGAAAAATCCGTACCTGGACGAAAAGTAAGTAAAGAGCCTGTAACCATACTGCCATGTGCTAATGCTGCGGGCACACACGCGCTTAAGATGATGGTCGTTGGGAAATATAATAAACCACGGGCATTCAAAAACATTAATTTACCTGTACACTATTACGGACAAAAAAGTGCAAGGATGACAAAATACCTTTTCAAAAAGTGGTTTGATGAATGCTTCGTACCTGAAGTTAGAAAATGGTTAAAAGATCATAATTTTCCTCAAAAAGCGCTGTTGCTTCTTGATAAAGCTCCCGGTCATCCATCTGAAGAAGAACTAACAACTGAGGATAAATTCATCACTGCGATATTTCTTCCGTCAAATTGCACTGCACTGATTCAACCAATGGACCAGAATATCATTCAGTTTGTCAAGCAAGACTATAAGAAAATCCTACTTCTGAGAGCCGTATCAAAGACCAACCAATAGAAAAAACTTTAGAAGAATTTAATATGAAAGACTTGGTTTTTGCTCTTTGTCAGTCGTGGAATGCGTTACCGTCATCTACTATTAAATCGCCATAGAAAAAGTTATATCCAGATATAGTCACCTCTCCTAGCAACGTTCCACAAATCAGTGTTACCTCGGAAGTTATAGAACAAGTCGCTACTGAAACACAGATAAGTCCGAAAGATTTGGAAATCTGGTGCCCTGGAATAGATAAAGAGGAAAATGTTTTTCATGAAATGTCTGACGAAGAGATTATAAAAGAGGTTTATAATTATACAACAAACAATTAGGAAAATAACGACGACGTGATTGCAACTGCTCCACAAGTCACAGCACAAGACGCAATTAACGCCTTCGAGCTAGGTTTACAATGGGCTGAAGAGAATGGTACATCCTACAACGAACTTTTACTTTTGAGAAGACTGAGGTACAAAGCTCTGATCTCGCGTTATAACAACCTTAAACAAAAAAATTGATGAATATTTCCAAGCTTCATAATTTGATAAATTCATTAATGATTTTGATTAATAATTCTTGATTATTTTGGTACATATGTATGTGCATTTATGCTTAATTTTATAATAAAACTTAAGCTCTCTATTGTTATTTAATTTACTAAATTCGACATACATAAACTATGTATGATTTGTACTTCAAAGCACATACATATACATAACATATTATATAATTTTACCATTGGATATGTAATTTGACGGATTACAAGGTACTCTTTTGTAAAAAATTCCGGGACTCTTAGGCAGTGCTCTATAATCCGACAAATTCGACAGTCCGACACTGCCCTGCATAATGTTTGTCGGATTACCGGAGGTCCACTGTATTTCTCTTACCTAGCTTTGAGGAATCATGAACTGGTTCAATTATTGATCTAATCATAGATGAAAATACTCCTGGCTTCCGGAATAAATGTAAAGTTTGGTTTTATTGATGCAAGTTGGTCAAGGGGGTATTCAAAATATGGACGCATAAAATGGGTACATCAATCTTTGTGGGAAAACTTTTTATTTGACAACAAAGAATGAGATATCGTGTTTTTCATTAGACTAATGGTTTTTGTCAGTAACGAAATCACAGGATAAGTTTCAGTTGCTACATTTTTGAGATATTCTCCATAGCAACAAAATTAAAGCATATCATTGGGATTAATTGTAAATTCCCTGTATATTCGATATATCCGGGGATTTTTTGATATCAAAGTGAATAATTCATCAGAAACCACATTGGTTTTCTGTCGACCAACATATTCATTCAGGAAAAAACGTTCGTAATTCGGTTATTCACCTTTAAGAGAACATATTTCTCAGTGAGTTGTGCAACCTGATTTATTTCCTAACAGGATAGTTCACATCGTTGATCTTTTAAGGTTACCATTCTGAGTCAAAAACATTGATACATGGACATTGGGAATAATATCACCTTAAATCAGACATACAGGGTTTGTCCGGAAAGTAACAGGACTGAGTCGATTTAAAAAAAATTATTGAGCCAATCGTTACAATTCTTTAAAAACTTTCAAAATAGGCTCCTTCTGCGTCGATGCGCGTACCTCTGCTCTAACGAACGCTGCATTTTCTCACTCACAGAAACATGTCGCGCGAAAATGCCTGTCCTGACTTTCCAAGTGCTCGGAAACAACTGACCAGCCGCTCATTCGTTAGCTAGGAACGCCCTCTAGACCGAATCCAGCGATTCGCACACGCTCCGAAGTACAGACATGGTGGAAGAAATGAGTCCTATTACTTTCCGGACAAACCCGGTATTTAGCTTGCGGTGCAGTGGTTTGTTTCGCTGGCAAACACCTCTTAATATGCGAATAACGAGAAACAGATCAGTTATAATACCTAGAAAGGTGGTGTAGTAAAGTGGCAGCTGAAATGTACATTTGCACATTGATGATTTTTAGCAGTCCAACCATTTGATAGTAATGAGGCAGATGGGAAAATAACTGTATAAAAAAGAAGACGGTATCATGCAGTTCTGCGCTGAAAAAAAATTCTACCATATAGCGATAGCCAAACATGAAGTGACTTAATGGAATCATCTTAAAGAATATTTTGTTTATTGAGTTCTGCTTCCAATTTTTACCATAGTCACACTTTCAAGCCTTGTAAATGTGGAGTTTAGGTAAAACTATCAATATATGGTAGGCGCCTGATACCAAAGCTACTTGTATAATGTACTGAACATTTTGACTGTGCTATAACTTCTACCCACGTTTTAACCCAAAAGTTTGACCCGTTAACGAAACGGTGTGATGTCAGACTGAAGGCCAATTTGACGGTTACAAATATTTATTAATTTTGTTTTTACCGAAAATCCCCACGTAGGCGTTATGAGCACGTTTGCAATTTATTAATTTTTGACGAAAACGAAAATTTCGTTGCAATTAAAATTGCTTTGTGTGTTTGTACTCCCTAGTTATTATACTAAGTGACATATAAATCCGAACACCCAGTTTAAATGGTTTTATTTTAATAAAATTTTGTATAAGTACTTAATGAAGCATAATAAGTAAATGATAAAAAATTCAAAATGATGGCACTGCTTTAAAGCCCTTTGACCTTTAATAATGTGTGGATACACCCTGATGTGTTACGCATTCTCCAACGCGCCTAGGCATGCTTCTGATCAGGTGGTCAATGTCCTCCTGTGGTATCTCATTCCAGGCAACCACCAACTCCTCTCGAAGTGCTTCTAGAGTCTGAGGAGGACGTTGCAAATTGAGCAATCTCCTACCCATCATATCCCACACGTGCTCAATTGGGGATAAGTCGGGAGATCTTGGTGGCCATGGCGACAATGTGACATCATTATGTTGAAAGAAGTCTATTGTGACTCTTGCAACATGTGGTCTGGCATTATCTTGTTGGAAAGTTGGATCCGCCAGGGTGTCAAGATAGGGTAAAAGATGGGGTTCTAGAACTTCGTGGATGTAACGCTGCGCGTTCATGTTGCCTCTGATGAAGATTAAAGGTGACCTGGAACCATAAGCTATAGTGCCCCAAACCATAACTCCAACAGTGTGATGAACATGTCTTTCAACAAAAACTGTGGATTCCTCCTTTCACCACATCGCCTTCTAACCCTGGCACGACCATCGTGCATGCCTAAACAAAATCGAGACTCGTCACTAAAGACAATACTGTT